GAACAGAACCGGTGACAAAGGGCAGCCCTGCTGGAGTCCAACATGCACTGGAAACAAGTCTGACTTACTGCCGGCAATGCGAACCAAGCTCCTGCTCCGGTCGTACAGGGACTGGACGGCCCTTAGCAAAGGGCCCCGGACCCCGTACTCCCGGAGCACCCCCCACAGGGCGCTGCGAGGTACACGGTCGAATGCCTTCTCCAGATCCACGAAACACACTGGACCAGCTTTGTGTTATGTCAGGGGGTAATATCAAGGTGTATAGTCATCTGAAGAAATTCAAATTATTCTGAGAAACCCTGACTTAGTCGGAATTCAGTAATTACTGCTACCTACAGAAATAAGATTAGATTAGATTCGATTCAACTTTATTGTCATTACCCATGTACAAGTACAAGGCAACGAAATGCAGTTTAGCATCTAACCAGAAGTGCAATAACAGCAGTGAAAAGTGTGCAGTAATTAATTTACCAATGGATATGTACAAGTGATATTTACAGTAAGATATTGTGGCGGCCCTGACCAGCCGCTTATGTTTATGTTCTGTTCTGTGTTAAGTGGGTGCAGCCGGAATGTCCGAATAATGTGCTTGTATTGGTTACCGCTGTTTTCTGCGAAATGCCGCGCTGTTCTGGCCAATGTGGGATTGGGGGAGGAACAGGTGCGGGAGGATATAAGAGGGATGACAGGTGGGCGTAGGTTGTTGGTTCTGTTGGCGGGCGATGGTGAAGTTCGGGGTGAGACCTGTAATGTTCTGTTTTGTTACTTTTTCCGGTGAGCACATAGTGCTGCGTTTTGCAACCCTTTTCTTTCTTGCTCTTGTATGTTTGAATAAAGTCGAGAAAAGACAGAGACGATGTTCTCCTCATTGTCAGTCTAGGTGCCAGCACACAGCTGGATAGTTAGTTGCACAGTTAGGTTAGGATCGGACCAGCCCTCCTCAACCCAGCTAGCGGTCGCCACAATATGTAGGGTAATGTACGATACACAACACATTATGGATTCAAATTACATTAATGGATAAGGTACGTTAAGCTTATAGAACACTGGTGCAATGAGATGAGATGGAATGAAACAGTGCAGACTAAGATAATAAGTTACATGAGTGAACAGTTCAATGGATGTAAATAGTGCAAAGATAAAGATAAATATACAGTATCTGCATATGAACAGTGTGCAATTGAGTAGAGCAGTATCCTGTGAGTAGAGTATGTGCAAATTAACAGATCACCTCAGTGTTACAGGTAACAGAAGTGTACTGCATTAGTCCTGGGAGGAGAAATGAGAAGGGGTGAGGTGTGTGTAGTGGTATAGAGGAAGGCAGTGGGGGGTCAACGGGGAACATTCATATGATACATGTAGCATTGGCATTAACTCACATTGATAAGGGCCATGATCCAGAAAGCATAGGACACCTTGGTGATAATGACACCTTCACTCAGCAGAGGATGGGAGATGTTGTGCAGTGCCACTCTGCGACCGGCCAGGCTGCTGCGAAGCTGTTGCAAGTTTAAGGTATAAGATGAGTTGGTGGTCCAGTTGGCATCCATGATACAGCTGCCCTCTGCCAGGAAAGGATCAGCCACCAAGGGACTGAGCAGTGCTCCCAGGCCTATGAAGAAATGTAGGACCTAGGGAGAGACATACAAATAGGATTATAGTGGCCTAGTGGTTAAAACTGAATGCCACATATTTGACAAATATTGGCCTTAGAAAGTTCATATGATTAACGTGTTTGCATGAGACCTATTTACACACTGAGAAAATGCAAAGCATCATTAGCATTAACTTGGATTTGTAATCAGAGTACACAGGTTTAATACTCATTCTCCTAGCTCTGTGTGGTCTCCTGGTGAGGATACTGACACTAAACCAAATACTAGTAAACCAAAAATACACCCAAATTGATCATAAAGGTCATTTCAAATAGACACGTGACTCACTGTTCACATAAAGTATTGTTTACATTCTTTACTCCATCAATAGTCAGTTCATTTGAATATGCTAGTGCATATAGCTGCTTCCTCTTAAACATACAACACACAAAGAATCACACACACACATTCACAGCTGTCACTTCCCCTCTTCTCCACCTCTGACCTGCAAAAAGATGGCTGAATCCTTCTGGTACAGTTTTACCAGCTGCAGGTTGGCGACGGTGTCGATCACCCCCATGGCTTGGCCAGCAAATGCCATGCAGATGGCCAACAGTGCCACATGGTGACACAGCGGTATGAGGGCAAACACGAGTGAGATGATGAGAGTGCAGGAGAAGAGGGCCCACAGGGAGAAGCGGAGTCTGAAGAAGATACAGGGACAACACAACCATAGCAATATGCCTCATATTCAGACTATAATAACTTTAATGAAATACATTGAGTTAGTAAGACATGTACAGTAAATTTAAGGCCCAATTAGTCTGTTAAATGACTGCACATTCAACATATTCTTAATTTTTACTTAATACTTAAACAAACCTAATACTGTAACCCAGCTCAGGTTATTGTGGCGGCAGTAAAGTCACCTCGAGGCTCTGCTGCTTCTCTACTTTTATTTACCCAGCAGGTTGATTACAGCCCTTAATCTTAAGTACACTTCCAACTTGTACCTCTACTTCATATTCTGCTTTTCTGCCAACTTGCCATTCTCATTTTAACCTTGTCTTGTACAGTTTGCAGTTTGCTAAAATGATTTTTCAGCCTGTGATATGGGAGGATAAAAACATAAAGCAGCATGAGGAAGTAATCATCAGAGGATAAAAATCTACTGTAAACATACCATACTACACTGGAAACATAAGAATGTTCATGTTTTTAGATAATAAAGCTTTAAGCACTACTGTAAGCCAGTTTCTAACAGGAAAAGGTAGTACTTGTTTAGCCTGGAGTTTATATCCTGCAGAGTATGTCAACTGAAGTGTGAGATACACCATTTTAAAGCAGTGGTAGATGTTACAACACACTGTATCAACATGACATGACTCTGAGATCCACACTCCAATCAGCAAGCCCTGATGCTCCTGGGAAAATGGACGAATAACAAAGAGAGAGTAGTGTGTGTGACTGCTCCCACAGTCTCCAGGCTGGGCCAAAGTAATGAAATGATAAGCCAGATGATAAACATGCATGTTTATCCCAAGCAAAAATGATGTGTCATCATGTAGAAGAAAGACAATATCCAAACACATGTGCTCACCTCAAGGCACAGCTCAGTGTAGTTTGAGGTTGGCCACAGACTTGAAATAACTGTCTGCCATTTGAATTTTAAAGATTTGCCAAACAAATATACAAGCTGGTCTAACTGTCAAAGGTGAAAATCCTAATGTTATCCCATATTTTTAAACGGTCACGTACATTTTACAACCTCAGGGAAAGGACTGTAGTCACTGACCAAAACATAGAATTTTCTTAGGGCTTTTTCAAAGAAGTCACATTTTCAGTACATTTTATCTTCCCACATGGTTGTCCAGTATGTTCTAAAGAGAGGCCAAATGTAAATTTATACAAATATTACTGAGGACATGGCCCTAATGTCTCCAGTGGCATCAAGCTAAGCTTTCTAGAGGCTGAACAATAAGTGGGCACACAGCTCTGGTGCAGGTTAGACTGGACTGGTCATGCAAATGAAAAGTTTGAATGCAAATCGACATTTACACTGGAGGAGATTACCACCTCACGTTGCTTAAGCAGAGCCAGAAAGATCAAAGACTCATCTCACCCAGTTCACCACTTGTTTGATCCGTTGCCCTTCCACAGGTGCTACAGCTCCATGGGAACACACTCATCTCGATTCAGACAGCTTCTTTCCCACGGCTGTCTGTGCGCTGAACACCAACATGCACTAATGCGTAATGCTGCTGTGCTGCCCTTAGTTAGAGGTTGTGCCCTTCATTGTTTATTTCTTACTGTTTGTTTAATATATATGTATATATATATATTATAATTGTAGTTTTTATTATTGACGGTTTTTTCTTGTCTTGTGTTGTGTCTGTATGTCATGTGATGTCACATCAAGTGAGAAGCTACACACATTTCATTGTTTGCATTGCTTACAATGACAATAAAGGATTTGAGTTGAGTTACGGACCAGGGTGATGTGCTTTGTCCAAACTACAATCCAATTTACAAAGACATCTAGTTTATGATCACAAAGGGCTAATTCATGCAGTAAACCCTCACATTTGAGAAGCGTTAACCATAAAATGGTTGGCATTTGTGCTTGAAAAAATAAAGTACACAATCAGTTATGAAAATAGCGGCAAAGATTTGATCAACTAACCAAACACTGGTTAAATGCAGCCTGACCTTCAATTCACGCATATTTAAGAACGATGCATTACTTTTACTTTTAATTTACTGTATACGCCTATTGTACATATAAAATAACGAATAGATTTATTAATTCCTTCCCATAGGATTTCTAGTCTTGAAGTGACAGGCCTCCCCTTTTGCCAAAAACTGGACTTGCATATTTGACAAAATACAGAAATGACCCTAAAGCATAATTATTGCACCAAATAATGGATTGTTTCATTTCTATCTGTGAGACCACATATGTGTTTTGTGTTTCACGTTTCACTGCCACACTCGCTGGGCTATGTGTAACCCACCCACCCCATCCCCACTTTTCACTAACTAGACTCACGTTTTCTGACAGACTCCTCCTGTGCTGCTGCCCACCAGCAGGAAGAACTGCTGGGTGAAGAAGACCCAGGTGATCTGCTGCAGGCTGGACCGAGTCTGACACCTCAGGTCCAGGATGGTGGGTCCCAGGAAGGCGATGCACAGGCCGAAGCTGAAGAACACACTCCAGTAGGTGAGCGTTTGCTGTGAGTTGCGCTTAAACAGCGACCAAATGCGGTCGTCGATCAGCTTCATATTGGTCCTTCAGATGAGGCTTGACTCCTGGGATCTGCAGTCTATACAGCTGTCAGCTATCAGTTTACACTGACGACGTGGAGCTCTATTACACTGAAACAACAAACTGTCAGCCAACTAAGTAAATAGAGCCAGGGAGTCGGGCCAGATTCCGGGTGAGTGCCAGTTATCCTATTAACAGCGGGTTGGCTGCTGTCCCGAGGTACCGCCCTGTTTTGCTGGTTTCATATGCTTGGTTCTCTAGTGATGGGATGTTCGGGTCATTTTACTGATTCGGTTCTTTGAATCTCGTTCAGCAAAATGAACGAATCTTTTTTCGAGGCATTTCGTTCACTTCAGCAGAATGTAATTAAACTGTTACATGTTAATTCCCTATCTACTTACGCACATATTGATCACGTTTCGAATAAGAAAGAACTGTAATGCAGCCAAGGTCAGGGATTAGGGCCTGATCATACCATTTCACAGTAACAGCATAGATCCTGTGTTTCAGATAAATGGAAACTTTAAGCAACTGTTTATCAACACGTATATTCAAAGGTATCTTACATCAACAAAACACTGTAGTGCTAGGATCTTTAAAATCAGTATGTATATGAGAAACGTGAACAATAACTTGGGGAAGTGTATATTTCTTAACGCTATTTCTAATCACTGTGTGTGGGGAGTATTATTCATACCAAAATCCGTTTACACGCTCACTTTGTGGGGACTCCATGTAAATCACTGACTTTTAGAGTGACAGCTTGGTTTAAAACCAGTGCACAAGAAGAATCATATGCAGTCTGGGTCGGATTGGATGTGTGTTGGTTTTCCTTCAAGTATAAGTTCATCTTCACATGAAATCTTAACTTTGCATTTCTGACATGTGTAATTCTAATATTATAATAGCAGAAGCAAACATTTCCACTGTCTGGCTATGTCATACACAAAGAGCCAAGCCTGCTGGGTCAGGCCATTGTGTGACAGCAGTCAGCCCATTCTAAAGTTTTGTGGGACAGACAAAATGAATGACTCTTAGCTGGAAGTTATGCTTTGGCTGTTCCTACAGTTATATTGTGTATTTGATTAATTGATCGGTGTTGAACTTGCATTTTGATTTCAGGAAAAGTATTAGTTAGCATAATTAAGTATTCTCTAAAGAAAGTTGTGTTCCCAATTTCCCAAATCCTCAAATAACTTTTTTTTTGTATGCACAATACTCCAAAAACATATCTATTTTATAGTAAGACTATTAACTTTCTGTCAATTGGCAACTCATGAGGTGGCACAGTAGTGGTGGTTAGCCTCGTCGCCACACAGCAAGAAGGCTCCAGGTTCGAGCCCAGGCCGACCTGGGGGCCTCTCTGTGTGGAGTTTGTATGTTCTCCCTGTGCCTGCGTGGGTTCTCTCCAGGTACTCCAGCTTCCTCCCACAATCCAAAGACATGCAGCTTAGGTTGATTAGCGACTCTAAATTGCCCATAGGAGTGAGTGTGAGTGGTCTTCTGTCTCTGTCAACCCTGTGATAGACTGGCGATCTGTACAGGGTGGACCCTACCTCTTGCCCAGCCTCTGCTAGGATAAGCTTCAGCCTGTGTACTTTAAAGACATTCAGTTTTAGCAATTTCTACTCATGCCATTCTTTCCTCTACATATATATGTGTGTGCACATATACAGTTAATCCTACAATAATGCATATTCAAATCAGAAGGGTTCATTTCAACTCTTTATTGTAAAATTATGCAGCAAGTAAAGACTGAGCAATGCTGGCATGACCAGTTCAATACGATTTGTTTAGACATCAACACAAGTAAAGACAAAACAACAACAAACAAACAGTTGGCAATTATCCGTGAGTCATAGTGCTCTGGAGTTGGAGATATCCCTGATGGTTGGAGCCACGCTCTGTGCACAGCTCACTGGCCTGCCTCCTCATTTCCTTTTGTTTTTCTCATCTATTCATTACTTATTTTGGTTTCTCCTCTCATACGTGCTCCTGAAAAGAAACAAATTTCAGACAAAATTAAATTTTTTCTTAGAAATTCTGATGAAGTGGGAACCGATAACTACATGAAATTGTTAACATCATTAGATAAATTGATATTTACCATGCACACGAGAGAGCTCACTTCATCCTGCCCTCCACCACTTCCTCTCTCCTAACTCTGAAAAATAAATAGAAGACAAGAGGAGCTGCAGTTAAAAGTTTTTAAAAACAAAGGCACAGGTGATTTGTTCATGACTACTATATAAATTGAAATGAATACCAATAAAATTATACTTAGCTGTTTGAGATGATCAGATATCATTATGCACCCACCGCATCTCCTCTCCTCTTCTCTACCTGTTTCTTATTTCCTTTGTCCTTTCCTTGGTCATCTTTTCATGTTATTTGTTATTTGTCCACTCCTCCCTGACACGCGCCCACAGAGGTGGGGCCACCCAAATGGAGGGTGCACCGCCGGGGCAGCAGCAGCAGCTCTCCTCCCCGACAGGCACCCACAGAAGTGGGCCCCAACTGTGCAACACACTCACAACTTATGATTTAAAATTTAAAAATATATTTGTAATGTGTGAAGCATCTTAATTATTAAAAGCAAAATCATTAATGTGATTATAAATAAAATGTTGACAGTTTAATATACTATAATATCTACTTCAAAATATGAAAACCCATCATTTACCAAAAACAATCATGCTTAACATTTTGCATGCATCTACAGTATTGATCAGGTCAGTGTGTTTTTATTTTATGCTGATCATGTTGGTGGATCGTTCTAATGGTTGTTCAACTTCTCAACTTAGATATTCACCCTCCGATGTGATGTAATATGGTCACATTTTTAAAGTGTGTTTTAATACAATACCTTCATGCCCTCATGAACGAAAGCATCTTCCTCTTCCTCTGCTGTTTGCATTCTAAAGAAATTACAATGTAAGCACTGGTGGACAAAAGACACAGTCTCTGTCCTATGTAAAACTGCCTTCTAAAATTCAGAATAATCACACATATATACACACACACACACACACACACACATATATATATATCAAGCTCGGGTCCTCTACCAGAGGCCTGGGAGCTTGAGGGTCCTGTGCAGTATCTTAGCTGTTCCTAGGACTGCACTCTTCTGGACAGAGTTCTCAGATGTTGTTCCTGGGATCTATTGGAGCCACTCTCTCAGTTTGGGGGTCACATCCCCCAGTGTTCCTGTTACCACAGGGACCACTTGTGCCTTCACCTTCCACATCTTTTCTAGCTCTTCTTTCAGCCCTTGGTATTTCTCGAGCTTCTTGTGTTCCTTCTTCCTAATGTTGCTATCGCTTGGGATTGCTACATCTATCACTACGGCCTTCTTCTTCTGTTTGTCCACCACTACTATGTCGGGTTGGTTGGCCATTACCAGTTCGTCAGTTTGTATCTGCAAGTCCCACAGGATCTTAGCTTGGTCATTCTCAACCACCTTTGGAGGTTTATCCCATTTTGACTTTGGGACTTCTAGCCTGTACTTGACACAGATGTTTCTGTACACTATGCCAGCCACTTGATTATGGCGTTCCATGTATGCCCTGCCTGCTAGCATTTTGCACCCCGCTGTTACGTGCTGGATTGTTTCAGGGGCATCTTTGCACAGCCTACACCTGGGGTCCTGCCTGGTATGGTAGACCCCAGCCTCTATTGATCTTGTACTTAGAGCTTGTTTCTGTGCTGCCAGGATTAGTGCCTCTGTGCTGTTTTTCAGTCCAGCTTCGTCCAGCCATTTGTAGGATTTTTCAGTATCAGCCAAATAACAAATAATTGACAAAATCTAAAACACTTTAAGCAGCAACAAATGCAGCAATATAATAAAAGAATATAATAAGAGAATTTATGCTGCATGGGAGCAGCATGTGCAGCAGTCAACAGTCATTGCACAATTATGCATGTGCAAACTGAGAATGTAAACAGTACATCATGTATTTCCTGGTAATAAACTCCTCAGCTGTTTAGGAGTCTGGAGGTCCTGCATTTCACACTTCTGAACCTCCGGCCAGGGGGCAGAGAAGTGAACAGTCCATGCTGGGGGTGTGTTGGATCTTTGAGGATGGAGGCAGCTTTCCTCCGCCCCCTGCGGTGGTAAATGCTCTGCAGAGAGGGCAGTGGAGTCCTAGTGATCTTCTCCGCAGTCTTTACCACTCTCTGCAGGCACTTGCGGTCCATAGCAGTAGTGGTAGCCAGAATAAATGTGTAAAAAATACAGTAAAAATGTACAACTTTACCAGACAATGTAAATTTTGCAATTTAAAACCATTTTAAATTACATTTTAAATGGGTAAAGCTAACTGCCCTTTTTTGTTGAATTAGCTGTAAGATTTACATGCAGTTGTTGCTTATTGTACATGAAATCTCATTCAATTTCACTGTAAAATACCAAACAACAAAATTGAACTGTAAAAACTTCATTATAATACACTCTCCCATAATACTGTCTTTTAACTGCATTGTTCTGCAATAATTCTTTATAATATAGTGTATTTTGCAGTATTAAAGACAATTTTATGGTGAAAGCATCTGAATTTTTTGTAAAATGTGTTCATTGCAGTTTGAAAGCGTAAAATCTTGTTCTATTACTCCTTTATAATAGTCTCGAATAAAAACTGTGAAACTGTATAACAGTAGTTCTCTATCCCCTGTTACAATGGTTGTTCAGTGGTAAATAGAAACACTTTCTATATAACAGGCACTACCTGCACTACCTTCTTACAAGTGTTTGGCTTTTCCCAGAAATGTGAATAATGTAATCGAATGTACACAGATTAAGCATTTACAAACTGAAAAACAAAGGTAGATAGATATATGAAAAGAATAAACAAATCAAGTAATGTGCCTTTTCAAGAATTTATTGAGCTCAAAGTACTGAACAAAAAGTCATTCCTCCACATATTTGTAATATGCACTTTTAGAATAGAAAGCAACCTCCTCATGTGCTGTAAGTCGTTTTCTGGTCATGTGGTTTGACCTGGGCTATATGCTAGGACTGTGATTTTGGGTGAAGATTGTTATTTTTGCCACAAAGATTTTTTTTTTTTTTGCTTGTGCAATTGACTGCTTGAGAGTTTTACCTGAGCATACAAAAACATCCTCCTGGATTTGTTCAGCTGTCCTCTGAGTCTGGAAATAGGTTTTGTGTGTATAGAGATGCTTCCTGGTTCTGCTTAACTACACTGTGTATACTTACCTCATGTCCTAATTTCAGCTGCTCCTGAAAAGAGAGGGGGAAAAACTACAAGTTAATACTTACCTCCAACCACCTTCTCAAAGTCTCCCTATAAGAAACTATTACTTATGTTTGTCCTTCCTTCACCTCCCCAGCAGTCAGAGGTTCAGACAGCTACAGTGTTCTGGAGAATCTCCTGGAAGGCTATCACTTTCTCTGCTCCTCTCACTTGTAGAGTATCTGCTAGTCCAGAGTGCTCTCCTGTTACTCACCTCACCTATTTACCTGCATTGCCGAGTGTTTCTGATCCAGAGCTGCTGAGTCTGCTGATTGTATGGACCACTACCCTCTGAAAATTGCACCTTATACTGCTGTTCTTTGGGTCCTATAAGAAATGCATCACTCACAAAAAGCTATATTTTCATTAGTATTTTTTAGCATTAAGTTCAAATAGTTTCAAGAATCACAGAATTTTTCTGCAATGTCAAGTGGATGATTACCATAAGTCTTGTTTTGCCTCTTAAATGCAATAGTATTTGCATTTAGACTGGCATGAGACCTTATCACTTAAACTAGAATTACTGCTTTGTGCTTGTGTGCCTCTGCCAAGCAGTCAAATTCACAGGTATAGGAAAGAAGTGAGGTCACTGACCTTAACATTTGACCACCAAAATCTAATCAATTCATCTTTGAGTCCAATGAGACACTTATGCCAAACTAGAAGGAATTCCCTCAAGGCGTTCCTGAGACATTGTGGTCACAAGAACTGGCCATAGGGACAGACAACGTAACAAAAACGTAATGCCTCTGGCCACGGCTATTGCCAGTACAGAGGCATACAAATACCAGTATAGTGAAGCCAGCACAAGGGTAATATGAGATATGATTTTACTGAGACAGTCTGTCAGAATGGTGAGATTTGTGAATTCAGAAGGCTTTACAAATAATGTACCCTAGAGGGAACATGTACAATGAGAAGAGGGCAGGACTCAAAAGAGATCCTTGCAGAATTCCACAGGCTAGTGGAGCAGATACAGATCTTAGGTTGGCGATTGACACAAAGACATTCCAATTTATTAAATAAGATGAAAACCTTTAATGATATACCACTCATTCCAACTCACTTCTCCAGATGATAAGGATAATCACCTTTATTGGCCAAGTGTGTTACACACAAGGACTTTGTTTCCGGTACAGAACCGATGGAAGCCATCTGCGGTGCCAACTCAACTGAGGGCTCTAACCATCGGGGGGGTTTATTGTCTTGCCAAAAGACACTTTGACTGGAGGCACCGAGATTTAAACCTTCAACCTTCTGGTTGGGAGATGACTGCTCTACCTACCGCACCACGGTCACCTCCCCATGATGATCTATAAGATGTTATGATCCATGGTATCAAAAGCTTCCCTTAATTCAAGAAGTAGCAGAACAGAGTTTCCGCCAATATCAGACATCCTGCT